AAAATGAAGTAAAAATTTTGGAAGAGCATACGTTTACTGATCATTGCCCAATTTTGCTAAATTTCAGAATATCTCGTAAACAGGATACAACGAAAATATTTCGGGATTTAAAATTCCTTAACGATGAAGTTAAAATCCTTAGTTTCCAAAACTCCCTTAAAGTAAAACTAGCGTTTGACGCACCTTCGGTGCTTCGAAATTGTTCGACAGCTCATGAAAAACCGCATATATTTGAAACAACATCTGCAAACTTTTAGTGTAATCTGACAGCACCCAATGACAGGGTTGGCAATTTCGATCTTTTAAATTTTTTTATTTCCAATTTTATAAGCGTCATCTCGAAAACTTAATGGGCCTCTGGAGAAATTTGAAGGCCAGATTTGCAACCACTGGGAGTCCCTGAGAGCACCCTACTATAGGGTTGGGAATCCAAAATTTTGTGAATTTTTTTAAACCTAAGTTTCTCGAAAAAAAAATTGAAAAAAAAACTTCTTATCTCGGAAAGTAAAAGGATTTGAGCATTCATATTAAGAGGTAAGATTTGAGACGCCTGCTTGTACGCTGACAATAAAAATGTATCTTCATCAAGTTAGTAGTTTCAAATTTTTTGAGTTTCCTTGTAGATAAGTTCTTCGAGAAATTTTGAAACAAAAAACGTCACATCTCGGAAACTAAAAGCATTTGAGCAGTCAAGTTTAGCAGTCGCATGTGGCAAGATTTGCAACTCTTTATAGTACCCTGACAACACCGAACTACGGAGTTGGAAAATTCAAATTTTGAAAAAAAATTATTTTAAACTTTCTGAAGTTTTCTGCAACTTTTTGAAAAAATCACAAAAAACGTCAGATCTCGAAAAGTACAAAAAATTGAGCAGTCATACTTGAAAGCAATATTCGCAATCTTTGAGACTATTCTGACAGGACCTGACTACAGGCTTGAGAATTTCAGATTTTTAAAAACTAATAACAATTTAAGTTTTCTGAAAACTTTTTCGAAAAAATCACAAAAAACGTCATATCTCGAAGACTACAAAGAAATGAGCAGTCATATTGGGAGGCAATATTCGCAATCTTTGAGATTACTCTGACAGGACCATTACTACAGGGTTGGGAATTTCAGATTTTACGAAAAAAAATAATATGTTTTGTAATTTTTTTGAAGAAATCACAAAAAACCTCATATCTCGAAAACTACAATGATTTGAACAGTCATATTTGGAGGCAAGATTTGTAACTCCTTAGAGTACTCTGACAGCACACAACTACAGGGTTGGGAACTTCAAGTTTTGTAAATTATTTTGTTATTTGAAATTTCCGAACATTTTTGAAAAAATCTCAAAAATCGTCTTATCTCGTTAACTAAAATGATTCGGGCATTCAAAATTGGAGGCCAAATTCGCAACCCCTATTTCGATATTGGGGCTGCTTAATTTAAACTCGGTAAAATAACCACTAACATCAAATAAGTAAATCGAAAAAAAATTCTTAACCATTGCAATATACGATATAGCTTGAACATGCAAAAAAATAATACGTTGAAAAAGCTTAAACATGGCGAGATAGTGAAGCCCGCATTTAAATATATAATAGATAAGAAGGAGCACAACTTTTAGTTGATGAAAAAATCAATTCCTCGTACGAAACTTTCCAAAATTGCTTTAATAAAACGATTGATGAATATGCACCTGTACTTATATGCACTGCGAAAGATTGCTCTTCGGCAGGGTGGGTCAGCAAAGAAATAAAAAATGCAATTAGTTCCAGAAACAGAATGTACAAGGAAGAGAAATGTAACAAAATAAATAAGACCAAGCGCGAAAAATTCCTCGCCGAGAAGAGTAAAGTAGAAAAATTAGTTAAGCTAAGCAAAAGAAACTACTATTACAATAGGTTCAATAATTGCATTGGAGACTCGAGACAGGTTTTTAAAATATTAAATGAAATAATAGGAAAATTTCCAAGGAGTGGAAACGTTCCTCTTCTTAAAAATGGAGATTTAGAGATAGATAATAATCAGGAGATCGCCAACCACTTAAATGATCACTTGGCTAACATTGCGTCAAAACTTCTGGCATCATTACCAAGTGATAGCAGAGAGTCTCATGAGACTTATTCAAAATATAATGCACCACAATCAATGTTCTTACACAAAATAACAATGTTCGAAGTCCTGGAAATAATAGAGAATCCAAAAGCGAAACAGTCTACGGGATTAGATGAAATAAGCAATATTATCATTAAGACAGTTTCTCATGTAATTGCGCCATATTTAACTTATTTGATAAACCTCTCATTCGAATCCGGCCAATATCCCGAACAACTCAAGAGCGCCAAAATCCAGCCCTTCTATAAAGAAGGTAGTGAAACAGATGAAAATAACTACAGGCCCAGTTCCTTAAATTGTTGCAATAAAATCTTTGAAAAATTAATGCATTTTCGCCTATACAACTATTTGAACAAGTTCAACCTTCTATATGAAAAACAATTTGGATTTAGACAGAAATACAATACTATCGATGCATTAGTTGAGTTAACAGAAAAACTTAGTTACGGTGGTAAGTCAATGAAATTCAGTATGTTCCTAGATCTTAAGAAAGCCTTTGATACATTGGATCATGAACTACTTTTACACAAATTAGAAAACTACGGAATAAGAGGATTGTGTAATGATTGGTTTCGAAATTATCTCTGCAATCGTAGGCAATGTGTGCTCACAAACTCCGTTTACTCTGATTGGACGAATGTTTCGCATGGAGTTCCGCAACGTTCCGTGATCGGTCCGTTAGTTTTTAATATATATTAATGATATGCCCAATTGCGTAAAAGACACAACCGTTTACCTATTTGCAGATGATACCAATGTCACTTGTGAAACGAATCTTTCGAGGTCTTCACCAACGACATACAAAATATATGTTACTGGCTAAATAGAAATAAGCTAACACTTAATGAAGATAAATCAATATTACTAAGTTTCCAAAATAAAGTAAGTGCTTCCAGTCTTCAGTTGTGCATTAACAATTATATGGTTATTTCTTAGGCGTATTGCAAATATCTACGTGTTTTTGTGGATTCAAAACTGTCATTTTGTACGCACGTTGAAAAATTAAAAGCGTAACTAGGAAGGCATTGTGGAGTTATTGCTCAGATGAGAAAACTTGTACCGATAGATGTGCTTATAAAATATTATTGTTACAACATCAAACCCATTATACAATATGGATTACTTGTATATGGGCGAACGAGCTTCTCGAATCTCAATCCAATTTTCCTTTTGCAGAACAAAATAATTCGAATGATTTACAAGATAAGGAAATTTGTAGTATTAGGGAAAGATTTAGAGAACACAAAATTTTAACAGTTCATGAGCTGTATGTGTACGATCTTCTCAAATTTTGCTTAAGATCAATAAACAAGTTGAATTCAACCGCATTTCTTAACGATTTTTTCACTCTGAAAACAAAATCGGCTTATTTTACCAGAAAATCTATAGGTATTCAATTTGAAGCTCCTTGCTCTAAGACAAAAACGAAAAGACAATCGATATGGTTAAGAGGATGCAAACTGTTGAAGATATTTAGAGATAATAACTTGCTCCCGGAAAATGTTTTAAACTTAAAAAGGGGGAACTAAATAATTTGGCACATATGCTAAGAGATACGTTTATACATGAGAAATACGAACTTGTTAGGTATATTTTTGCTTTATGATTATAAATATGACTGTGTTCAGGTGCGGGGTGAGGCGGCTCGAACTGTATTGTTTCAGAAGACCAGGCGTTGTCTCCGGGCAACATAGTTTAATACTATTTTGCTTTATGATTATAAATATGACTGTGTTCAGGTGCCGGGTGAGGCGGCTCGAACTGTATTATTTCAGAAGACCAGGCGTTGTCTCTGGGCAACATAGTTTAATACTATTCAAGTCTGAGTATGGGTATACAGTTTTGGGTTGTTTTGCTTTGCACCTAAAGGACAAAGTCATATTTCAAGAAATTTTGAAAAATGGTCAAAAAAAGGGCGTTACTCTGCCCAAATTTCTGGAGAATTTAAGGGCTTTTTTTCGCGAGGTGGATGAGCCGTTAATTAATTTCTAAAAACTTTTTTCTTCTTTTTGCTATTTGGTTTCATAAATATTTTATTTATCACTTCATTTATTCTTCTTTAAATGATGGGGTTGTCAAAACAATCAAGGCTTCGTTTTGATACGAGCTATTTGTTTGAATATAAAGCTCCATACATTTTCGTTATGAACTTTTCTGTTAATTACAACGCTACATGCGCTTGATAAAAACTTCTATTGGACAATTGCCCTTGCGGCCCGCTAGTTCGAACTGATGAAAAATTAACAAGCTTTAACAAAAAAAAAACATTTTTCAAAATAGACTTCAGTTCAATATTAAAATATATTTTTGATTAAGGCAATTCAATCTTGTTTTTAAGCGCTGTTAATAAAAGCACGGCATGCCAGATTACGTAACATGAAGAGATGAACAAAATAAGGTGCCTATGGATGAGATTGTTTTCTGCAATGCAATTCTAGTATTGCACTTCAAAACAATTTACTCATAGAAATGCGTCAGCCACAAGTCCGTAACATATTGTTATGCCTAGATTTTAGAGGAACTATTTTGCATCATTTACTAAAGCTCAAGAAATACACAATCTCATAATATATTGTGGACACAGTCAGTAAAAAGGATGATATATTTGACGCAAACCCGCATCTGAGCTGACTGTGTTCATGTTCATCGCCCGCTTCATCTGCTAATATCAAAGTAACACGTAGTTACTGTGGAAAGTTCCTTGTGTGCTTCCTGAAACTATTCGCAGCAACCGTTGAAAAGCTCCTATTTTTTGATGATATTGAAACTAATTGGACAGAGACTTAACTATAGAACGAAACCAGAAACCAGGATGAAAAAAAACTGACTATTTATCGGAAAAGTACAATGGAACCGTAATTCCGTGCTGAAGGCCTTCGGAGGTAAACTGCACTGACCTGATTAAGGTCAATAAAATGAATCTCGGCACTGCCGATTGATCGTCTTTGAACAGGAGAAGAGGAAGACATTGTCCTTTCCACAAATTCTCCTACTTCTTGTCTGTTCGGGTCTTCAACAGGTCTCCGCCTCTCTCCGTTTAGAGATTGAAATTCAATTTCCAAAAACAAAAACAATTTCCAAAAACAATACCTGAAACTAAAATAGTTTAAGTGTATTTAAAATGAGCAACAAGAGACCAGCAAGTGGGCAAAATGCGGAGTTCATTTCGATTGTAATAAATAATCTCTCTAATTGTAAATAACAAGCGGCAACTCAAAAGGAGAGAAGCTTGATTGAAAGGAACAAACAGAGTGTCAAGAATGAATAGAACATTACAAGATAAGGACAAAAGCCTTTTGGAGGTATTTGCCCACTAAAGACCTAGTCCACTAGATAGTTTTTTCGATCCATTCAATTAAGCCTCAAATAATAATAATATGTCTTTAAAACATTTTTATAATGGCAATGAAGAAGAAATAATTCAAAATAATTAAACCATTAATCAAATCAAATCCTTCAAAACCATCCAAGCAATAAAGTTTTCAAAATTTTGCGGTGCCATAAATGGACAATACTGTAGAGCTAAAGCATACGCCCTCCAAAAGATTTATGAAACAAAAACCTACAGAGGCGAAGTTGTACTTCACAAACACAAGCAAAAAAATGACCGATAACGCTACTGGGAAATACTGAATAAGTAGAACTTTGAGTTTACAAAATTTCATAAGTGACGCACGCCAACGCCAAATATCAGTCTTCATAATTGCTACGTGACGCAAGCCAATTATGACGCATTACCAGTACCAATCAATTTGAAAAAAAGGAAACTTACCAACTAACAGGCCTCAATTAAAGAGCGGTCGCATTTCAACTAGTATACGAAAAAGTTCATTAAAAACATCCGACCGTGCCCAGGTTCGAACCCTCTCGTTTTGCTGCTGGTCTCCTTCCCTACCTCTACGCTACAGAACCATGATACCTTGAAGCTCAAGTGCTATTTGTAATATAATAGTCTGTGTTATTATGCTTAGCATTGGTTGTACTTAATAGCTGGATAATAATGAACTCTTCCAAAATGAACACATTTTGTCGCACCAATTGCATCCCCAATGTGTAGAAAAAAATTGTCAGTCAAAAACCCTCTTTGATTTAAATTTGAGCAAATTTACTATTTGTCCAACTATTCACAACCATCCCGCGGTCGACGATCAGCTAAAATCTGCGAAAACTTGCCTAAAAAAGTGGTCAGATGTCGAACATGAGCCCTTAAAAAACATGTCCAAAAATGATGAAGATGTGGTCGAAAAAATTCCTGAAATTGACCAAAATCCCGTACCAAACTTTCGGCACATTCGAAATTTTTTATATTTTCATCGCCGAAAGCAGCTTCCTAAGATACCGCAAAAGTGTCAGATATAATTTAGTTCAATTGTTGTGGCAAAACCTGATCCGGAAAACAGTTTCTTCTGGGAAAAAAACGTAGAATTTGAGGCAGTTGTCATGGCAACCAGATTTTTATTGAAAATCATGCTGAATAGGATACAGGTTCAGCCGATAGAACCTTAAAAACTGCGTCAGAGCCATTCACTCAGATTTATACGAGTTTTGGATGATTTGAAAACCAAAACAATTCTCACCAATTTTTTCGACTGATTACAAAAAAAAATTTACCGCCGCAGTTTCCGATTTTTTACCCGAAGCTCAGCATTTGGGCTGTCATTTCCATTACTGTCTGGCTGTTTTCAAATAATTCCAAAAACTTCAACTATCAACTGAGTATCGGCAGGACCAAAAAAATCGTGAAATGAATCAGAGGTTATTTACATTGCCTTATTTGCCTATCGGATTGGTCAGAACAAACTACACGCGAATCAAGTAAGATGAGGAAAACCTTTTGATGATCCGAATTTTATGATGGATTTGCAACAAATTTTGAGTGTTTCGGAAAAACCTGGCTCAGTGGACAGATCCAGTAAAAATGTGGAGCTTGTATGAAAGACCAGCTTCACTCACCACTCCAAACAGTGGTGAAAATTGGCACAATATCTGGAACAAAAAAATTGTGCGATTCCATCCCAGTTTTTGGGTTTCGATCCAAAAACTGAAGCGAGAAGAAAAAATGTCAAAACTTGCCATGAAATATTTTCCTAATGGAGATATTCCACTTCAAGTTTGCTTCAATGTTCAACTGAACTTTTTCGACTTTACGGCCTTTACATGGTGGCATCTCGGAGAAAGCGCTTTCATTTTGCACTGGTCTTTTTAGCGGATTCAAACCAAATTTTATTGCAGTTAACATTTGATTACCGGAAATTGACCAAAACCTTCTACCAAACCTTCGGAATATTTGAAAATTTTACACTTCCATTGTCAAAAACAGCTACCTGGGATACCGCAAAACATTTTCAAATATAATTTTTTCTCAATTCTTGGAGCAAAACCTTATCCGGAAAGCAGTTTCTTCTCAAAAAAAAACGTAGATTTGAGTTGTCACGGCAACCAAATTTTTATTAAAAATCTTGCTGAATGCGATGCAGGTTCAGCCGATGGACCTTTCAAAATAGCTCCCGAGCCCTTTACTCAGATTTATATGATTTTTGAAAGTGGACTTATTGACAATTTCCTCAGAACTTGAAGATTGATTCCAGGTAATAAAAATATTTTTACATGAATTCAACCGTTCATACTTTTATCGGCGCAAAACTTTTCGTAGAAAATTTGGTCAGAATAAAAACCTTCACAATCATATAAAATCCGTTATTTTTTTCAAAAGTTATAAAAATAATCGGCCAATTGTGAAATGTCCAACAACACTGAAAATGCCGGAAACTTTTTTTACAATTCTCCATAATGCATAAAAATAACGGCTGTCTATTGTTTCGATTACTCAAATTTACCCGAGCCCTCGCATTCCGCTATTTTTTCGAGTGCCGGGAAGACATGAATCGTTCTTCATCATAGCAATGTTTGGCCAGAAAACATATTTCAATGGTTTTTAAGCAAGTGTTTATAAATCATTTTTACCGAATATCTATATCATGCTTGAATTTCAAGCATAAGCACTAACCCAAAATTTGCTTAACAGTCCATGAAAAAGCATTATCGTTGCTTGATTAAATCCATTGACTCAAAATCATACATAACGATGTTCTGTCTTGTGACTAGTTGTGAAGTTCATCCACTAAGCCACCAAATAAACAAAACAGCAATAAGCTAAATTCAATTCGAATCTTTGGATCCTTGCCAAACTGATGTTTACTTAAGATAAATGTTGATCGACAAACAAACTTCAACGCCTACAATAATATGTTCAGCTACATTACGGAGCAATGATGAAGTCCATCGAATAAAGAGATGTGTATTGCAATATTCGCTCCAGTCTCTCGAACTGCATTTGAACCAAGAATATTTTAAAACGTAAGGACTTAAATGTGCCATTCTGCCAGATGACACAGCACAACCTTCCGGCGACATAAAAAAGAGTGACTAAAGGCCTTATGAACATAAAAGTGTTGCGACGGAGGGTCAGAATGTTCTAGAATTTTTATTTTTAAAATTTCGATTGGAAGAAGAACATTTCTGAGAAATAGAAAAAAGACGGCCATTTTGAATAAAAAAGACGAAATCAGAACAACGATAGAGATTGTGGAAAACAGTCGTAACAGAGACAGAAAATTACGAAGCCTCTTATCGTGTCAATAACACACGATAAGAACCTTAGCGACGGATATTTGTGGAGAAGGAGGCTTCAGTGGGGGAAGAAATATACCACGGAACCCTCCCGGGACACGAAAGATAAGAGATAAGAGTGTTATCTCAAGAATATCACGGGAGCGGAGGCTTGGTCCCCCAGAGACAGTCTATGTGAAGGGACTGTACAGACTGACTATATAGCTGCTATAATGTCATAGATCTTAATTAACACCGTTTTTATTTAATATTTCAGAGCATGAGTAGCAAGAAAAAGGAAAGGGTCAATCCATCTCCAATGGATTTAATGTAAAACTGTCACACAAAAACATGTTAAAATAGGTTGTTCGAGCCGTGTTTTTAATGACAATCACGTAGTCTGAGGATCCGAGACTCAGCTATGTGGCTGTGTTCGCATGTAAACGAAAGCTGATCGAAAGTCGTTTGACTGATGGCCTAAAAATGGTAACTTTTTACTTTGCCCTAGACAGACCAGAAAATCAACTGGCAAGGTCGAGACGGTAAAAAACGAGTAGAATTAAGGTAACTGACGCCTGCCAGTCGTTAATAGGTACTTTTTCTACGCTCCGTCGCTGTGTGATATTTGGGCGAATGTTACATAGACGTTTTTATGGCGCTCCTGGGTGGGCCTGTTAAAGGCATGAAACCATCATGATCAGCAAGCGTTTCAGCGACGTACCCTCTGTGCCAGTCGGTCATATTTGGAAGTTTGACCTTGAGAAGAGCAGAAAACACTTGATTTTGGAGTGAAATTTAATTTTTCAAAATTTCGAATGGAACATGTCATGCACGATTTTCTCGCGATAACTGAAAATCAGAAAAAGAAATCAGAACAATTTCAGAACAATAGCGGGAAAGTTGTCAGATAAAAACGAGTGGGAAATTGCTATTCGCAATTTCCATCATAGTGAACAAGAGTAGAGCTGTCCTATCTGAAATAGAAGACAGAGTATTCCCGAGACAACAATTATTCGAACTGGACCAGAGTGAACCTTCGGTGGAAAGGTGGACAGCTAGAGTGTCCCAATGGTTCACGAAAACCTGCAGTCTAGAGTAAAAACTGGTTCTTGTTGTTAAAACTGACTGACATTAAACTTATCTTAGTTATTTTATTAATTCTTGAGTTGTCTACCGACTTATTTACTTCCTGGTTCTTGAGCGTGCTACAATGTGAGTACTTAATTTAAATTCTAGAGTGTGTTTTATAATTGTTATGTTGAGGTAAGGCGAGTTTTAGGTTGATCCATCTGAAATGGATCAAAGTTCCACTGTCTAATAAAAAAAAGTAACTTAACGGATTGTTCCGACCCGGTTTTTAACGGCGTTCATGTATTTTGGGTATCTAGAGACCTAAGTATGGGGACGTTTCTAATTCTAGAGTGGGGGGATATTTTAGTAGTAGCCTTTAAGCTGTAACGGGTCGTAGTCTCATGTCACGAGCG